ACGGAGTGGTCCACCGGGACCTGAAACCAGAGAACCTCCTCTATGCGGATCTCTCCCCAGATGCTCCTCTCAAAATTGGTATGTCCGGGGAAACCTTTTCCACAAATCATGCCAAGGACAACTTACATTTTTGGTCTTGTCGCGCTTTTACAAAAAAAAAATTATCCGCCCTGAGGGGGGGTTTCCTATGCTGCCCTACAGATTCAAGGTCTTTCAAGGGGGGAGAGGCACCCGGTGCTTCCAAGGGTTGGGCCTTTTCCAGGCTGTAGCCTATAGCCAAAAGATGAGTCCGGAAGCCACGAACTGAAGTTAATTCCAAAAATCAGGTGCAAGAGGATAAACAGATGGCAAGGCTTGTGGAACTGAACAGGGCAAGTCTGATGCACAAGCTGGAGTTTAGGGCCTGCGATTATGTAAAGGTAGAGGTTTCCCTTGCTCGAAAGCTAGTCGAATCCGACTCTAGGGGGCGGGGCTCATCTCCGTTTCCAAGCCGAAGAGCCAGCGCTGTCCGAAGACGTTTCCGTGGTCATGCGGCCAGCATGACTAAAGGCCAAGGCGCATGGAAGGCTGTTACCTTCCCACCAAAGTGGTACCTATTTATCTACTTGCAATTTCTTGCTTTTGAGCTGCTAGGTTGGCTGGAGCTGAGGCCAGAGCCAGGAGCTCACTCCGTCACACGGCACTCGGGTCTCGAACTGCTGAGCTACAGACCTGCCCACAGGCATTTTAACCTCTGAGCCACCGCGGCTCCTTGCGATTATGAGGGGGCCTCTAAATTAAAAAGAAAAAAATCACTAAAAATTACTGAATTGCCCCCCTTTTTTGCTAACGCTACGGGGCTTCTTAAAGTTGACGTCGCTTAAGGTCCCAGAGCTGGGGAAGCAGGAGAATTTGGCAGTGCCAGGGTGCACACTAGAGCAGGCAAGGCAGGGCAGAGAATTATGTTTTGTTGCACAGGAAATAGGATAATGGGAAGAAGGGATTTGCACAGGGACAGGAAAGGTTAGGAGGCAATCGAGGAGGAGAGAGGAGGAGCAAGTTGGAGAGCTGGGAAAGGCTCCTGATTTGCCATAAAGAAGCTCATGGAGAGACTTTCTCTCCTGATATGAATGGGTGTGCCATCTAAGGTTGTCAGTTGCCCACCCACCCATGCCGTACTCAGTAGGGGGGAAATAGGTGAGGGCAGTGTCACGCAATGGGGTGATGTCATTTCCAGCCGAATCCCAGCAGTGACGTTATCGAATTACACAGCGCTCTAGGAATCCTCTCGATCTCTATGGTAAAACCCATAGAGATGCAGTGCAATGTAGTGACGTCACTTCTGATTTTTTGGGGGGGTCTGAAACAGTGTGGTATGATGATCCTGCCTTCCTCTGCAACCCCCCCCACACACACAATCCTACCGCCAAGCAACCCTAGGCTATCTTAGGTCCTTGCTGACTCTTCTAGCAGAACTGACTTTGACACAGGGCCGTCCCCAGACATTCTTTGATCGGGGTGCATATTTTTTCTTAACGGGGCACCTCAGCACAGTGGAGAGATAAGCTTTCATGTATACAATGGATAGCAGAAAAGGCCTTAAGTATTGCTATCTTTATTTAATCGTTCTTTGCACTCCCTTGTTGACAATGGTGACTGTTGTTATCTTAAAACTAAAAAAGAGAGGGTGGGGGCAGCCGTTCGGAGGGGCCGCTCAGAGAGCCAAGAGGCATATGCAGAGCTGAAATTGGATCAGGTGGCCCAGTAAGATCAATGGATAGCAGCAAATCGGCAGGCGAATGCCAGAGTTAACAAAGAGATGTGAGAATGAAACTAGAAGCCCACTCAGATGATCAGTGAGGGCAGAAAGGCCTCCTCTTTTCCCCTCCCGCCCCAGTTGATTGCTGGAGGCGCCTGGCAAATGGGGTGGGGTGGGGTGCTGGGAACTCGTAGGCCCCACAATGCGTACCTACGGGCCTGCTTTGACCACCTCGAGGGCTCTCGCTCTTTTCCAGCATCTGCCGTGTTCCTCTAGAACCAGAATCTGCTAGAAGGAGGGTCCCCTCGTGGGCCGAGTTCTGCCCACAGGCATTTGACAGCCGTTGAGTTGGGAGCTCTGGAGGAGGATGGTATGGTTGCTGGTGTGGTTGCCGTGATGTTCGTTCCGGTTTTACTTTTAAGGTTCTGGTGGTCATGGCAGGCCCGTAGCCAGGATTTTGTCATTTGGGAGGTCTTTCAATAAGCCAGGGGGCACTTACATCACAAAATAAAAAATAAAGTTAAAATAAAAAATTTTAAATCTCAACTTTTGTGGTGTTCACACTCTGCCATGACCTACGCAGGGAAGCAAGCCACGCCTGGGGAACGGGGTGGTGGTGGGGAGTCTTCCAGGTAGCCCAGAGAGTTTGGAGTCCTCCAGGCGGCCCACAGAGCCGGGGGACCTGGAGGCTGGATGGAAGTTGGGGGAGCTTGGCAGGAAGTCAGGGGGCCAGGCCCCTTAATGCCCCACTGTAGCTACGGGCCTGGGTAATTGTTATGTATTAGCTTAACACTGTGGCTGAGCTTCGTGCCAAGCTTCATAGCCTGCAGGGATCCTGAGAGTCTCCTTGTGAGCCAATCAGAAGAGGGCATATTTTGCAGGGAATTATTATTATTGGTTCTGACCATGTAGAGGTTGTATTGAAGCGGCTAATGCCTGAGCCTTGTGTCAGATACCCTTGCTTGCTAGAATGATAGAGCACTTGCTCTGATTGGCTGCCCAAGTAACAGACCAATCAGGGAAGACTAGAATGTAACAAGAAATGCAAATGAGGTATTTTTGCTGTAGTGCTTGCTGTGATTGGTTATTACTGTGTCAGGAGGTGTGGTTTTGACTGCTGTCGTCGACTGTATATAAGTGGGGGTTGTCGCTGGGTTGTATTGCGTGTGTCATGTTCTGAGCTGAATAAAAGAAATCACTGTTTGATAAGAGTGGCCTCAAGTCCCATATTGAATAGTAATTTCCCCCCTAGCTTGGCTAGTATTGTAAGTCAACTGGAGTAAGAAATGTTTGAATTACTAAAAGGAGTGGGACTCCATTGTGTGACTGAAACCCCCACATGGAGAGAGAGAGATGGTCAAGTGCCCCCCCCCACTTCCTCCCTCAGCTCTGTCTGTTTTGCTGCAGGTGATTTTGGGTTATCCAAGATTGTGGATGAACAGAACACAATGAAAACTGTGTGCGGCACCCCAGGATACTGTGGTAAGGGGGCAAAAGGAAGGGTGGTGGGAGAAAAACTACCCTGGGGAGAAAGAAATGGTGCTCTTAGCCTTTCTTGTATGGAAAGGAGCCATGCGGGGGTCTTTGGGCACCCTGGAGATCCTAGACCAGGGTCCCCAACCTTTTTGAGCCCATGGGCACCTTTGGAATTCTAGGACTGAGTGATGGCGCAATGAGAGGCGAAGCCAGATGCACGCACAACTACAGAGGAAGCCCAAGTGGAGGGGAAAAGAAGGGTGATTTTGAAGAATATTCTGGGAAAGAGAGAATAAAGCCAACACTGTGGCGTCAGTTGCCACGGAGACATTTTGAAAACGTGGAGCCAATCAGATTTCCAGTGGCCAATCAGAAATCTTGCTGGGCAAAAGCCCTACCCTGGCCCCACCCACTTTCTGAAAACTCTTGGCGGATCCCAGGAAAGGATCTAGCACATTCTAGAAAGTAGCGATCAAGCAGCTTGTAAGGCCCTTTTGGTGCGCGATAAGGTTCTGGCTAAGGATTTGGAGGGGGGGAATTACTGCAGTGTATAAGATGGCAGGTCATCCCCTAAGGAAAGTCACCATTTCCCTATGTGTGTACCAGTGTTCCCTCTAAGCTGAGATAGTGTGAGCTAGCTCAGTTTTTTAGCCTCCGGCTCACACATCTTTGTCTTAGCTCAGGAAGGATGGCTCCAGAGCAAACTAACTGATGCAGCAGCTAAATCCCTCGCTCACAACTTTAATGCCAGTAGCTCACAGAGTATACTTTTTGCTCACAAGACTCCACAGCTTAGAGGGAGCATTGGTGTGTACAGCAGTGTGGCTCTTCTGGGGAAGAAAAGCTCCCAGATGTCTTCCACACTGCAGTGCCAGTCTGTGTGGTTTCCCCACTGCCACAGCAGCTCCTGGCGTGATGCATTGGAAATGGGGGATCCATGCAGGAGGTTCTCCTTCACCCTTTCCCCGTGTCTGCTTTGCCGTTTACCTGTATGCGCTTCCTCAGTTTGAAATGTGCAGGGGTGTTTCGTGCATGCTTGTGTGCCCCGCACTGCTGTTTCCGTAGAATGCAATTCAAAATAGAATGTGTGCCAGTGCAGAACGCTTCCTCCTTCCCTCTGTGGGTAATGATGAGCCCAACCAGCACAGAGGAGAGACAGAAAAAGAGACCAATAATGGTATCCAGGGGGTGGGGGGGGGCACCGAGTCCTGGGAAGAGGGTGGTGAGAGGCTTGGATGTCCGGAGGACGAAGAACGAAACAAACACCATTTCAAATCCCTCACAGGCCCAAATGAATTTCTGTCAGTTGGGCCTCCGTTTCTAGAGTCTCCCAAAAATCATTTTGGCTGATTTCTGTCCCCGTCTTTAGACCCATCCCCTCCCCGGCTGCCACCGGTGCCTCACTGTATTTGCCAGAGGATTTACTTGGATGGATTTACTTCATCTTATAGTTTCCAGGTTATGTATCCTGGCTTTGCCTTCTCAGCACCTCAGGAGGACAAAACGCCCACTTTCCTTTTGGGTTAGAAATCACAAGTGGCATATAACACCGGGGGGGGGGGGGGCAGCGGGTAGCCTCACTGGCTCACACCCCCTTTATCTTCTTCCACAATCATTCCAGGGAGGGGAAGTAGCCGTATAGGTAACACACCATCGATGCATATTGGAGGAAAAGATCGGCACGGAGTCGTTTTGAGAAACGTTGGGGAAAGGATGGGAGAAAACTGGCTCAGCGAGGGAGCTGTGAAGAAGCTCTAACAGGATTCAATTAGCAACGGTATCCAAAAGACGGCAATAACACTCTTCCGCACTGTCGTTTTTGTCACTCGTTTGTCCCTGTTGCTTTGGGGGTGGCCCTTTTCCAGATGTGCTTTGCTCCCTCTGGGACTACTTGAGAGAGCAAAACACATTTGGGGGGAGGGGACCCTGAAGCAATAGGGACGAACGAGCGACAAAAAATGGCAGTCCGGAAGTGGCCAGTACTGCTGTCTGGAAGACGTCCCTCTGTCTCTGGCAGGCTTGACCCTCTCCACCAAAAGCTGAGGACCCATCAACAACTATTTCTCTATTTATTTCAAATTGCCTTCTTTTGCCTTTGCTAATGGAGCGGCCAAGATTACCAAGGAGAAAAACTCCCTTGGGGAGAGAGGGAAATGTTAACCCTTTGCCGTTTTCCTTGCTGGAAGGAGCCACCCCCAAGTTGATTTTGTCTCTGCTGGGAGAACTGTCTGGTTTTCGTTTTTCCCCCTTTCCAGCGGGGACACAGACAGCTCAGAGGTGACTTTTTCCATGGAGGAAATGGCAGGGAATGAAAGGGTTAAAGCTAAAGAACACCATTTCAATCCACTTTCAGTGCACTTTGCAGCTGGATTTCACTGTGTGACACGGCAAAGTCGACTTGCACATGGTCGCTGAAGTGGATTGAAAATGCATTATTTAGCATGTGTGAAAGCACCCTGCACACACACAACACACACACACACCCCGATTCCCCACAAGCAGCTGTGCTGCCCTTGCTCTTCTGTTTCCCCTGCTTGCATTGGTCAATTTCACACTATTTGCTGCGTGGCCGCATTTTGACCCGCAGCTCCTCTCGATTTCCCCCGTGTCTTCTTGATCTCAAAAAGCAAGGATTGAGAAGACGCGGGAGAAATCGGGGGGAGCTGTGGGTCAAAATGCGGCTGCCCAGCGAATAGTGTGAAATTGAGCAAAACGACCGGGGGAAACAGAAGAGTGAGGGTGGCACATTGTTAAGTCGTGCGCTTAACAAAGAAGTCGGAGAGTGATTCAGCAAGAATGCGGTTTATTCTTCAGCTCTGTTACTTCTCCGAACACGGTACAACGATCGCCAGCCAGAACCCATCATTCGAACCAACACATAGTCTGACCCAAGGGAATGGATGCTACCCAGTGTTCCCTCTAAGCTGAGTTAGTGTGAGCTAGCTCACAGTTTTTTAGCCTCCGGCTCATGCATTTTTTTTAGTTATAGCTCAGGACGGATGGCTCCAGAGCAAGCTAATCTATGCAGTATCCATATTGCTCGCTCACAACTTTAATGCCAGTAGCTCACAAAGTAGAATTTTTGCTCACAAGACCACCACAGCTTAGAGGGAGCATTGGTGCTACCACAAAATGGCTGCCCCGGGAGGTGGGGCCAACTGCCAAAATGTCAGGGAAAAGAAAATGTGCATAATTCTACTAGTAATTCTTCAACATTTCAGGAAGAAACACTTAACAAGGATGCCGCATTGTTTAAAAGTACTTTCTTATTTATGATTTATGTATTTGTTTGTTTAATATGTATCCCGCCCTCCCTGCCAAGGCAGGCTCAGGGCGGCTTACAGAATATATATCAATATATTTAAACAGCGAGATACGTTAAAACAAATGATATAAAACCACAACATATACAGACAAATGTGCTAGTGAACATAAATACTAATAAGTGATGGTGGCGTTCTCTCAGCATCTAGATGGTCAACTGCCACCACTGAGTTCTTGCCAGGCGATTGGATATTAAGTTGGGGCCAGTGCCTGAACGTTAGGAGATGGCACCCTAATCGAAAGCCTCATGGAAGAGCTCCATTTTACAGGCCCTGCGGAACTGTAAAAGGTCCCGCAGGGCCCTGATGTCATCCGAGAGCTCATTCCGCCAGTAAGGGGCCGCCACAGAAAAGGCCCTGGCCCTTGTCACAAGTAGCCTGGCTTCTTTAGGGCCTGGGAGAGCCAGACGGTTTTGGGACCCCGATCTTAGTGCTCTCTGGGGAACACGTGGGGAAAACGTGCATACCGACAGCTTATGTCCAGTTACACAGTGAAGGCGCTTGTGTTGCAGTGGCAGCCGCTGCCAAAGCGGCTTCTTAAAAATCTGGATAGCCGATCTCTGTGGCCAGTCAGAAGCCCTGCTGGGTGAAAGCTGCTTCCGGAAAGAACTTGGCAGGTGCCAAGAAAGATGATGATGGGTGCCTTGGCGCCTACACATGCCACACTGGGGGACTCACAATTTAACGCATGGCAGCCACGGAACTTCGACCAAAGTTACACAAGCAGTGCAAAGCGCAGGAGGGTTAAGTAAAAACACCGTTGCCAGCTGACTTCCGGCATGTCCACCGCACCATTTGGGAACACCTTGAGAACTGCCGTTCTGTTTTTCTCACATGCTCAACAGCCGGTGAAAGGCAATCCAGCGGGCACCTGGGAATGCGGCCTCGTTGTCCCGACTTTTCAGGAGGCAAACCGGCGCCGTTTCAGTGATGCTTAATCTACAGCATTCGGGCGAGATGCTCCCCGCCCCCTCGAAGCCAGGCATCTTCACGCCCTCTGCAGATGTCTCACCTTTTTTCTTTTGGCTTGAAAATCCCCTTGGAAATGAGTGGCAATGAAACACGTGCGTGCCCCTGGCGGCATTTCGCTCTCGCTCACTCTCCTTCCAGCTTGCAGTTGCAAGCGACAATCCCTTGCGCCTCTGTCAAGGGTGGGTGTGAAAGCGTGGGTCGAGGCCGATCTGGCGAAAGGAAGGGATGAGCGGGGGTGTAAAAGGAGGGCTGCGTGGACTCAAGTGGGAGAGAAGGCCAGGTGGCACACGGGCGTATGCCAGCTGCCTGCATACCAAAGAACGTTATACTGGAGGGAAAAACATGGATTTTCTTTTCTTTTTACGCTGCCTTCAGCTCCTGAAGTCCTCCACGGGTCACCGTACGGTCCTGAAGTGGATATGTGGTCGGTCGGAGTCATAACTTATATCTTGTGAGTGAGCTTACGCTACTTTTGCTTCTGTTTCTTCTTTCTCCCCTTGCCAGCGGGTCTACAGATTGGTGAGAAATGAATACGCCTTCGCTCTTTCTTTGAAGGTTTGATGTGCAAGGCCCCCCTCTCCTCCCAGCAACCCCCCCCAACACACTGAACTACTTCGGCTGTGCTCATAGTCGTCCTCTTTCTATTTATGCGGGCTGACAAAGCCAACATTAGTTGAAGCACAAATGTGAATTTGGTGTAGTGGTTGGGAGTGCGGACTCCGATCTGGGGGGACCAGGTTTGATTCCCCACTCCTCCACATGTAGCTGCTGGTGTGACCTTAGGTCCGTCTCAAGTGCTTTCAGAGCTGTTCTCTCAAGGGCAGTCCTCGAAAGAGCTCTCTCAGCCCCACCTACCTCACAGGGTGCCTGTTGTGGGGAGGGGAAGGGAAAGGAGATTGTAAGACGCTCTGAGATTCCCTCGGGCAGTGAAGGGTGGGGTATAAATCTAATCTCCTCCTCCTCCTCCTATTGAGTGGAAATAAACTGGTCAGGAATTATTTTTGCTTTCAGTCTAATTGCCTACAGGCAAGGCTATTTCTTCCTCATACAGAAACAGATGTTTGTTTATTTCTTGGTGATACATCTGGGCTGAATCAGCTTAACTTAAAGAAATCATTGCCACAAGATGTAGTGATTGATGCCAGCTTTAGAGGGCTTTTACAAACAAACAGGCACAGCTGGATCCATGGAGAAGGTACATCCATGGCCCGTGGCCATGATAGCACTATGGAAACACCACACCGATGCTCCCTCTAAGCTGTGGAGTCTCGTGAGCAAAAATTCTACTTTCCGAGCTGCTGGCATTAAAGTTGTGAGCGAGTGATTTGGCTCCTGCATCAATTAGTTTGCTCTGGAGCCATCCTTCCGGAGCTAAGACAAAAATGTGCGAGCCGGAGGCTAAAAAACGGTGAGCTAGCTCACACTAACTCAGCTTAGAGGGGACACTGCTCCACACTGAGAAGCAATATACCCCCCTCAATACCTGATGGTTGAGGGAACACAGTTCACAGGGGAAGTTCATGTGCTGCTCTGCTGTCCACTGCTGGAAACAGGAAGCTTTGCAATTGGGTCTGATCCAGCAAGGCATTAAGAACATCAGAAGAGCCCTGCTGGATCAGACCAGGGGTCCATCTAGTCCAGCATCCTGTCTCAGACAGTGGCCAACCAGTTCCTCTGGAGGTCCAATGACGGGGCACGGAGGCCGAGGCCTTCCCCTGATGTTGCCTCCTGGCTCTGGGATTCAGAGGTTCAGTGCCTCCAAAGGTGGAGGTTCCCCTCAGTCACCATGGCTAGTAGCTACTGATAGACCTCTCCTCCATGAATCTTTCTAATCCCCTTTTAAAACTGTTGATTCCTGTGGCCATCACGACATCCTCTGGCAGGGAATCCCACATTTTAATCACTCTCTGTCCCCCTGCATCACCCCTCTTCTAGATGCACCCTGTCCCCATGCTTTGATCCAGAGACCACTGAATTGGAGTGAAAGTTCAAGTTATGAGGAGCCCATCTTTTCTGTGCAAAACAGATGCCGGTGCCGAGGGCTGATGCAGAAAGGAATCAGTAGGTCGGGGGAGATGCTGAATCCTCTCTACAGAGGTCCCTCCCCCCCCCAGGTGGGCTCCAGAACCAGGAGGAAGCCCTGCTGGTTTCCTTTTGCTGTTGGTAATATTTAATGCCTGGTTTGTGTTATTTACTAATACCCGCATTTTAATGAGAGGTTTTAGAAATGTTGCTCCTCTTTCTCTTCCTTTTGATGTTTAGAGCCAGTTTGGTGTCGTGGTTAAGTGCGCGGATACTAATCTGGGAGAACCGGGTTTGATTCCCTACTCCTCCACTTGCAGCTGCTGGATGACCTTGGGCAAGCCATAGTTCCTTCAGAGCTGTTCTCTCAAGGACAGTTCTCTCAGAGCTCTCTCAGCCCTGCCTATCTCACAGGGTGTCTATTGTGGGGAGGGGAAGGGAAAGGAGTTTGTAAGCCGCTCTGAGACTCGGAGTGAAGGGCAGGGTATAAATCCAATCTCCTGCTCCTCCTCCTCTTCCTCTTCTTCTTCTTCTTCTTCTCCTTCTTCCTTCTTCTTCTTCTTCTGTTTGCATCATTCTAATTATTAACATTTTGTTTTTAAAGGAGGTAAGCTTTGTTGCAGGGGTTGTTTGTGCTTGTATGTGTTTTGCGGTTGTAATGTTCAAATGTTTTAGAAGAAGAAGAAGAGATTGGATTTATACCCCCACCCTTCACCACCCAAAGGAGTCTCAGAGTGGCTTACAAACTCCTCTCCCTTCCCCTCCCCACAACAGACACCCTGTGAGGGAGGTCCCCTCCCCACAACAGACACCCTGTGAGGCAGGTGGGGCTGAGAGAGCTCTGGCAGAAACTGTTCTTTTTCAAGGACAGCTCTTATCAGAACTATGGCTCGCCCAAGGTCATCCAGCCAGGTGCAAGTGGAGGCGTGGGGAATCAAACTCGGTCCTCCCTGATTAGAGTCTGCACACATAACCACTACACTGCGTTTTAGTGTTCCTTGAATGAAAAGGAACAGAAAGGAACTCAGGCAAAGGGGGGGGAAACCCGGTGTTGAAATTGACAAATCCTCGTTGAAACCGACAAGCAATTGCAAAGCTTCATTTTCCATATTGCGGGGCACTAGGTGGGCAAATGAATAGGCCAACAAGTTGAATGTTACATGTGATTGTGGTTGTTGAACATGGGATCTATCACACATGTTCCATCTATCAAACATGTTCCATACGAAGTTCATAGCCTCCATATTTGGAATGCTGATACCAATTTTTGAGAAGTTCTCAGGATCTTTGATTCTAGCCGATTACATATGCACATCATACTGCAGATTTTCAGAGCAGTAAGCCTTTAATCTTGACTTCAGATTCTGTGCCAGCATTACACACCATTCTTTTCTTCAGGTGTATTTCTTCTGATGGCCTGATGTGATGTGGTCCATGGGGTCACGAACAGTTGGACTCAATTGTGTGACTGAACAACAATTTTAAAAATGCACTTTTCTAAAACAGAGTGGAACGTCCCTTGTGATGTGTGGGGAATGGTGTCCAAAGTTGTCGTTTTTAATTACACAATTGCCCTTTCATAGCTGCGTAGTAGTATCCAGCAGGGTCCTTCCATTTAAATCCTCGTGGTTCAGGTTTTGTGCATGCATTTTAGCATTAGTTTGCTAAATGAAAGGGACAGAAAGGAACACAAGCAAAGAGGGAAAACCTGATTTTGAAACTGACCAGACTGTTTAAAAAAACCCTGACAAGCAGCTGTGAAGCCTGTTTTCCATATTGCCAAGCACAAGGGGATTGTAAACTGTCACACAATCTCATGAAATGGGGAAACATGTTGTGTGAACGGAATGAATGGTAGAGCCCACTGACATTGGCATTGCAGGCTGTGATTGTTGGCAACGTGGGTGTGCGTGCACGTGCCTGTGCAAAGTCAGCTGCAACTCCAAAATGCTTTGCACAGGGCTGCAATTTGTATGGAGGAGGAGTACTCTGGCAGAAGCTCTGGAGAGCGTTTTAAATCTTGTGTCACTAAATTGAAAAACATTGGTATTTTTCCTGATGCCCTAGTGCAGCTGCAGAGTAACACTGTTTTCCTGCCCTTCCTTGCAAATGTGCAGGGTTTTCTCTTTGTGATTCTATAATTTGTCCTGCACAATTTGATCTTGGTTGTGATCTTGGCAGTTTTTTAGAGCCTGTCCTGCGCGGATTGCATCCTGTCCTCCAAATTGATCAATCCCAAGTAATTCTGAAGTTTGGCAGTTTGCAGAAGGTCCATGTGGGTCAGCCACTATTTTAATGTTAGGATTCCAGAGACTGCCAAAAACGCACACCCCTCATTTTGTTCATTAAAACATTAAAGGGGAAATGTTTTCAAAGCTTTAAGCTTCCCATCCCAGTGTCTCTCGCTTTACATCTCATGTCAATTTCATTCCACGCTGATGGTCTCCCCCCCACTTTATTTTGTTTTCATGCAGCACTGACATATTTTGGGGGGGGCACTGGGGATGTTGCCTTTTGCCTCCTCTCTGATCCCCCTTTCAAGTCAGTATCAGCAGAGAACTAAACCTTGTGCAGCTCCTTTTAAACTTCCCCCCATCGTTTTAATTTTTTTCTTATTCAGCGATCTGAGACTAGCGATAGTCTCATTATCATTAGACTCATGCTGCTTGTAAAAAAAATTAAATTTAAAAACGAAGGCAAAATGGAGCTTGTACACTAATGAAAGGGGAAGGATGGTGGAAGGTGTGAAGTGGGCGGAACTACCTCAGTGTGGGCAGGGAGTGACCTTTGAGGGGCAGGAAAAGGCAGGGGGGGAGATCTGAGGGAGTCTGTACGCTTTTGAATTACCTTCGGCTTGGAGAGCGAAACAAGTGAAAAATTTATACAAAAGGACTCTCAGAAAACCTGGAGAAACAGCGACCAGAAAGCGAACTGAGCGCTGAAGGGGGGGAAATCAATGCAGAATGACAAAGGAAACCCAGTGGGCACGCACAGTGAAAGCAAGGGAAAACACCCATGCATAATAGCCTCTGTCTGGGGCAGTGATGCTCTGTATTCTTGGTGCTGGGGGGAGGCAACAGTGGGAGGGCTTCTGGAGTTCTGGCCCTGCTGGTGGACCTCCTGATGGCACCTGGGTTTTGGCCACTGTGTGACATGGACTGGATGGGCCATTGGCTTGATCCAACATGCCTTCCCTTATGTTCTCGCGACCACACCACAACCAAAAGTCTCTCCGCAGGTTTCCATTGTACATGCGTGTTTCTCTCCCTCCTCACCCAGGATGCAACCCAAAAAGCTTCCCTGTTTGGCGAATCTGAATTGTGGCTTAGAATCCTGGTTTGTGGGGAGTCAACGGACCCTGGCTGGCCTGCGTTCAGGCACCATGGCCAAATAGACCGTGGGGAGGGGGGAGCCTTCAGTGGTTCTCTG